CCTCGCCCCGCCAACGGCTCCGCGCGAGCCCCGCCCCTCCCCCGCCCCGCGCGAGCCACGGCAGCGGCACAGGACTTCAAGTATTTTATTACTGCAAACGTGCCCATTATATAGATTTGTATTTGCATATATACAACGGTGGTAAAGGGGGGGTGGGGGTTTTTGGCAAAGATTAGGGGGTCGTTTACAAAAAACAAGTGTTTTAGTGGCCAAAGTGAAAAAGCTTTAGTTTTATTCGAGGTTTCACGGCTGCAAGTCGACTGGCACCGTTCGCTGGATCCCCGCACCACCGAGTTGGCACAACCTTGTGGAACTCGCTTCACCTCCGCTCGCACGCCAAACACAAACACGCTTCCACTGATGCCGGAACGTATCTTTTTTTTCTTCCAGATTCAGCTTTAAAACCCAATTTAAAAAAATGAAAATACGAAAACAAACGACGCGCAGATGGGCGGCCGTCTGATCTACCGTGGTCTGAGCCCTGACCGACTGACACGAACATCCAAGTGGGAAAGCTGGTGCAAAACGGTGTGCGCTGGGTGCAGGGAGCTGCGAGGCTTTGAAGCGCTCGAGACAGTCAAGCGGTCGCATATCGGTCCACGTCGTAGTCTTCACCCCGTCTCCTGCATACGCCTTCATAGGCAAAATAGAGCACGCCCTCTCCCGAGCCAAGAAATGGCTGCATTTTTTTCGTACCTTTTCTTTTCAAGCCAACCAAAAATATTAGTGGGGAATTAGTAGAGGTTGCTGGTCTAGCTACGTACATGATTTTTATTTTTTTACCTAAAACACTTGAGTTTGGCTCTTCTACTGTCTGTCATTCCCTACAGCTTAGTCTCAGTCAGCACGAAGTATCCATTTTTTGCTGCTTAAAAAGTGAAGTGTTAGATGCCGCTAACAATCATACACACACTCGCGCGCGCACACTCACGTTTACAGTATAAATTATCTTCCTCTGAAAGTATACCAAGACATTATTTCACTTGTGCTCTGAGTCACGTATAAGTGGATATAATGCGGTCCATGCAAAACCAGGGTGGTTTCCCTCAACTGGCCCGATTTTTCTCTGTTCCATTTTTGACAGCTGTACCCCGCACGGTTAATCGTTCCTCCTCCATTTTACACACAAAAATGAAAACATAAGAAAACCCACATTAAAACTCCACGATTAAGTCTCTTCAACAAACGGGGAAAGCAAAGGACTCCCCAAGTGCTGCACTTCAAGGATTGTTTGATGCAGACCGAACAGCTTCCGACTGGCTCGTCCAACGTCAGTTTGCAAAGCCACGATGCACATACAGGGCTAAAAGCAGGCTTCACGTATTCAGTCCCTGTAGCTTTGGTAGAGGTATTTTAAAGTTTTGCAGTCCTTGTTATTATTCAGTCTCATTTTCCTTATCCAATGCTGCAGATGGAAGACTTTCTGGGAAATCACAGGCTGCTCGGCATGAGGATAACATACAATTTCAGTGCTCAGGGTGAGGGGCGGAGGACTCGAAGGCTACTTGGGAGGTAAAGGTGCTGGCCGAGAAGGAATGCATTGTCCCTGCTGCGGTGGAGGCGGCCTGTAAAGGAGGGGGATGCGAGGAACTGTTAGCGTGCATCTATGTACATCAAGACACCTCCCTCTTCCTCCTCCTATTTCCCCACCATGTCCCAGGCCCCGTGCTCAGTGTTTCCTCCCTCCCCTCCCATACGCTCAACCCCACTCCCACACTGAAGCCTCGCATCAAAATTTGGAGGCTGTCCTAGTTCCTCTGTACCGCAGACCCAGTGTCTCCAACCTTTCCAGGGAGTTCTGCATCTTTCCTAAATCGGCTTTGTCTGGGCAAACTCCCCTGCCTGCACAATACCAACCTACTCCTAAGGACCGCGAGCAATATCTGCAGAGCAGGAACAAGTGCACTAACTGTACTGTTGGCATTTTTAAACCATAGGCTAGAAACCAAAAGTAAGACTGTATACAAACTTTAGCAGGACGCTGAACAGGAAGAAGGCTGGATGTGCTACCCTAATCAACAGCGCGCCCACCTGCTTTGTATTCAGAAATGACAAACAGAAAAATCACTGCAGACCTGGTTGGTAACTTCTGCTGCAGCTGCTCCTGATACTGCGGAGGATGGTAGTAAGGCTGGTGATAGGCTGGTTGGTAATGCTGATGATACTGATTGACTGAATAAGCTGGCACAGGGCACTGGTTCGCCTGCACATTCTAGAAATAAAGGATAAGCCACACATCAGATAGTCCGCTGGAGGAAGGCAGGCACTACAAGGCCCCGTCACTTCCCTGCCAGGATCGGCCTTTCTCTGCAACAGCAACAGCTCACGAACACACAGAAACCCAAGGCACGGGAGGGCCGAGTGCCCTGGCCAGAATGACTCAGGCATGCCTCTGCCTGGGAGAGCCCCAGCACTGTTCCCCTGTGACTGCCTGCAGCGTGGTTTCAGACCATCTCGCTCAACAGCTACCCAAGACGAGACAAGCCGCAGGACACAGCATAACCGTGCGGGTCTCACTCCCTACCGCACCATTGCAAGATAAATTAATAACACTTCACTCCAACTCCTTCCTGGCAAGTCCCTTTTGCTAATGACAGCAAACATGCCTTTGCCACAGATGCTGGCACTATAAAACGGCACAACTCACTGTACCTTCCAGGTCTGAAGTTTGTGACAACAAACGCTTTCTGGGCCAAAGCTACTAAGTGTCCCCACCCTATCCCACAACACTTGGCTTTGTTTAAATAGGCTTCCTGATTAAGATGAAGGCCAAGAGCTGCTAGGAAACAAGGTTATCTGCACCAGAAAGGAAAGAGACAAGTCCCTATTGTACAGTAATGTATGACTCAACCAACTCACATTAGTAGCCTGGCCCCAACTCTTCTTACAGCTGAACATTTAACGTGAGTACATTTTTCATTCATGCATCCTGGCTGACATTTTTACTACAAGCTTGTTTCTCGATGCTGCAAGATCAATACTGCCCTATGCTTAGACGCACCTGTAGATTTTCTTCTGCTCAAACATTTTCGCATCAGATTATCTTCGTCATTTAAGAGCACTGGTTGTTTACACAGCACTGCCCAGCTGGATGGCATTTGACAGAGGCTCTTATAGAACATGTTATGCAGGCTACAGCTTACGAGGCCTCTTTGTAAATACTAGGAGACAATTCTAAGACTCTGACAACGCTCCATGCCACGAACCAACTGCAATCACTAGTATTTCTTACCCCTGCATAGCTCACACAGGGAGACAGCGATTTAATTTTAAGAGCCACAAAAACCCCATGCGCTCTCCCCCAGCCAAGAACAAGTAGAAGTAGTTTTGTACAAAAAGTCCTTCCTTGCTCAGTGTCCAATACAACAGGCTTCCCACATTCATTACTTAAAGCAGGACCAGTTTATCGGTGTCTGAGCGCTGAAAAGCAGGTCACTCCTACCGTGGGTACGTCTCTCGAATTGTACGGCGTGCTCTGCAGGAAGTGCCTGTGGTCTGTCTCTACAGGAGGTCGAGGGGGAGGAGGAGGAGTTCGATGCGATCTGGAATTGGACCTGTATATATTGAGCAGTCACGTTACCATCAGCGACGAGGAAAACAACGTTGAAACCCTGACGTTACAGCATTTTGTAAGCATTGGTTTCCCGGGTATTTCACTCTTACCATTCGACAGCCAGGAAAACATGTTTTCCTTTTCACAGAATCACCGAAAACGAGGGTTGGAAGGGACCTGACGACGTCACATCTAGTCCAAACCCCTACTCCAAGCAGGACCAGCCCCACCCAGATCATCCCAGCCAGATCTTTATCAAGCCAGGCCTTAAAAAACCACCAAGGGTGAAGACTCCACCAACGCCCTGGGTAACCCATGCCGCTGCTTCACAACCTTCCTAGTGAAAACATTTTTCCTGATATCCAACCTGAACTTCCCTCGCTGCAACTTGAGACCACTGCTCCTTGTTCTGTCACCCACCACCACTCAGAACAGATGCCCTAGGACCAGGCCTAGCTGGAGTCCCCCTCCGCTCAGAACTATCATTTCTAAGGTCCCCATGAGCCAAAGACTGGACCCAGAAAACGAGGAAAGATGGAAGTCTCCAACTGTGAAATGTCTCCGCACAGATGGAGCACTTGGGTGCACGGCTACCATCTTGTCTGCTCACAGTCCTGCAACTGTACCCCTTAGAGGCATCAAGATCAGAGTGGGAGGGTATCAACTTGGCACCTCAGGCCAGCTCTCTGGAATCCTCCTGTGCAAAGAAACTTCTCTGGTCCATCCGACAAGTGACCATCAAAAAAGCTGCCTGGGGTGGGAATTCACTTACGAGCGACAGCGTGATATTAGTCTCCCGCAGCTTTGCTTCAGCTGGTTTCTCCGTGCAAATGCCAGCACAGCAACTAGAAGCAGCGGGAGGACCAGGAAGAAGAAGACCAGAAGCCCATCTCTCAGCGAGGTGTCTTTGTCTGGGGAAATGGAAGGAGACAAGGAAAAGCAGGCAGCGTTACAGGTGCAGATGGCTAGAATACCTTCAACTTCCACCATGCTGCCAATTATCACCACGGGACCCCAAACCCAAACCCTTCCCGAGTTGGCAAACAGAGCCCACCACGGTTCCAGTTTCCCAGCACTTCGGCCAGCATGCAACTGCTTGGAGGCCACCAGGCACTTGCTTTGCCCTCCTCCCAAACAACAATCAGCAGCAGCTGAGACCACTGTCCTGGAGCTGCCTGGTCACTACTTGCCATTATAGGAAGGCCCACTGTCTACACTTCCCCCGTATCCTGTCGAGTCACAATACGGAGGGGCCCAGCCTGCATCACAGTGACAGTTCCTGTTGTTATTGCACACCTTAAAAAATAAAAATAAATAAATAAATGTATAATCACATGCACACAGCAATTACTACGATCAGTGCCGTCAAGGGCTCATCTACCCACCCTACATCACTCACACTGGAGAGCTCTACCCTGCAATTCCTGTAGCAGGCCCACTCATCATAACCGTCCTGCCCAAGTCACGCTAGCCAGGCAAAAACCTGCCTGGCCAACGATTAAAATCGCCCAGCGCACATCCGACCTAAACACGCCTTTCAGGTTAACTAAACCAAACAGCTTACTTCACGCTCAGACTCACTCTTGGGGCTTCCCAGCGAAACACCTCACAATGCTGCCACGCTCACTGGCACAGCTACAGTCCAGCAAGTTTCTGCGAGTTACTCTTTACCTAGAGAGCAGCACAAGGCTAGCAGCCAGCTCACCATTAAAATATCACCGTCTGACCTAAGGACAAAGGTAACTGGGTACACATTTCTATGGCCTGCGATTTGCGAGAGGTTGTTCTAGCTGCTCCAATGGTCTTTAACTCTAGGACTCTGATCCTTCTTACAGAGGAGCGAGGAGGGAGCACTAAGCCCAGGCTGGACATGAGCATAAAAGGAAGTTCCTGCCTTACTTACCCCATGTCCGTGGCATTTGCTGTCTATGTCACAGTCATAATTCAGAACAGAGACGCTTACACACTGGTAGTGTCTGCAGATCTGGAGAGGCAAGACAAGAGCACACAAATGAAACCAAGGTGGCTTTGGACTGCTTATGTTTTTCCTCCCTCCCTCCCCACCCCATGGTCCAGTACACACTTGGTTTACCTTGCTCAGCATGTATGTTTACTGCCACGCTACCTTCAAAAATGACGCACACAACTTCTAACCCTAAGCGCTTTCATTTGAATAGCAAACTAGTTTGCTGCAGTAATGGCCTCCAACCACTGCTCGCAATGGAAGTGATTTTTTAGCCATCCTTTTCACCAGCTGACCAGAGGGTAACAGCTATCAACTGTCCTGAGCCTACATGTCTGACTAGCAGGATCCCAGGGGAGAGGTTAAGCGCAGCCCTCCGCTGAGCTGCGGCAGAATGTAATGGGACAGGCCACGGCAGGGATCTACGCAAGCTCTCCCCTTGTGGAGAGATGCCTTGTCTTCCCTTTTGTGTTTCCTTTAAAAAAAAAAAAGGGGGGGGGCGGGGAGGAGAGGGAAGGATGCAATGAAGGAGTTGGGTACCTAAAACAGGAGGTGGGTGGACTTCAGGTGCTTAAGTCCAAGACAGGAATCCAAAAACCTTACTTGCTAGCACATCCTTGAGTATATGAC